ATATACCAAACAGATTTGAAAGTTACATTTTTTAGTTCTCTTACGTCTGCTATTATTTTTGTTTGAGAGAAGTGACTGATATTTAATTTTATTACATGTAAACAAGTTCAGAAGTTTCAGCAATATATTAATATCATTCACATGATGGACATGTAACGCTGTGGGAAGCGGTTTTATTTATTTACCTATGTAATTTTCAATACAAAGTACTTCATCGTTAAATCTCAGTAACAAGTGCTTCACTTCACAACTATAGAGGTCCTAGCTAATAACCAGATTACATCCAGTTAGATTCAAGTTCTCTACCAGAAGAGATTCAGTAGTTTTCAGTTCAACCCAATTCAAAACCAAATGACATCCAATATCTTCCACTTAAAACCCAATTCATAGTCAGATGACATCCAGTAGTTTCCAGTTGAACCCAATTCATAACTAGATGACATCAAACAAAAGATAGAAATCATTAACTTACTGTATGACAACATATATAGTGGAATGTTGATGGGCAATATTACTACACAAATATGTGATCCAACACCTCAAACAGGAATTTTAAATGCAATAATTCATATGTATATCAGCTGCAATGAATAGAAGAAAATATAAAGACCACACCTGTACCAGCCTTGGTGAATGGGTTAATACTGAATGGAATTTGATCATAGTTAGTGCAGTAGAGAATGAACAACTAAAGGTGATGATTGGTACTCTACAATTAATACTGAACCAGGAGAATTCAGCAATGCTAAGCTTATTTCATTTTTGAAATACTTTATGTAAAAAAACATCAAACCAATTGTCTCAAGATGATGACAAGTATAATCCATTACCACTGAGAACAGGGTGGCAGTAACAAACATTCACTTTTTTTTTAGATATCTAATTCATTTGGTTGTTGTTAAGCACAAAGCTACACAATGGGCAATTTGTGCTGTGCTCATCAATGGGTACCAAAACTTGATGTTTACCATTGTAAGCCTGCAGACTTACCACTGAGCCTCTGGGGAGGATTTAATTCATGACCAATAACTACAGGGTAGTAGTAAAATACATATTTTCTATACATAAAATCATACATTATGAAGTAACTTTTTATGAATTACTTGTTACAAGACACATTGAAGTTTACAATATCTTATCAACAGCATTCAATCAACATCTTTCTCCTTGTGTAATAGACTGTTACAATATAATATTTATTACTGGTTAATGCTGTACAAAAATATTTTTCCAATTGTTTAGATACTGACTGAATTTCTGTGTTGTTGTTTTTTGTTTTTTTTTCAGATTAATTCAAATAGATATTTCTTTACATAAAGGTTATGAATGGTATGACTAGAATTAGGAAAAATTTTATGATCACACAATAAAATCACTAAACATGCATACATTTTATTGAAAATAATTTCTCCATCAAAGAACTGGCTATAAAAAAACATAAATACTATATTCATGAAATGATACTAGAAAAAGGTCAAAGGCTGAAATTAAACACCTTCGCTTATGAGCTATAGATTACAAGAAAATAAAATAACCCGACTAAAATCATATAAATAAAACATTATCTACTAATGGCAGTTTTTCTTCTACTAGCCATACAAATAAGTTAAAAAGTATTTCTACAATTAAGTGATTTTAAGGTGTTAAAATTTCTATTTATCAAAATAGAACATAAATAAAGTTTAGTATACACTAAATCACAATAGAGCAAAAGAACAAATTTAATCACCAACTTTTTCATTTACTTTCATGTTTTTTTTTTCAATAAATTCAGGGCAACTGACAAACTGACTAGAAAAGTTAGTTCAGAAATTAAGAAATGCCACAAATCAAAGTTTCAGATTTAAGTTGAAGGTTTTATATTTCTAAATTTTATTAAACATCTTTTACTTGCAGAACAGGAAGCATAAATGGCATCCTGATTTGGACACACTCTACAAACTGAACTCTTCCTTGATTAAAAAAAACTTTTAAAAGAATAATTGTTTACTTCCAATCTTCATAAATACAAGAATAAGTACCAGACAGTGGGTTATATTATTCAGGGTATCTGAAGAGTTCATCTTCAAGATTTAAATCTGCATCAAGGTAGAAATCTGCACCAATCACATCTGGAATCTGTAAAAACAATTTTCACTGTGATAATGATGATGATAATGAACAGAAAATATCACCTGTTTCCTAACTAATACCTTCTGATAAAGAAAATGAATTCTAGTCTTCTACTTCCAAGTGAAAAACAATAAATGCTGAAAGACACTTACTAAATCAGTGGAAAAGTTAAGTCTCAGAAAGATACAAGAAAAAGGTAGACTAGGCATTTAACAAAGGAAACTAGCAGCTAATAACTATGAGTATACTATTATTGAAAGTTACAAGAATAGACTCAAAATACAATATATATATATACAGAGTAACATAGTGTGCACCTAAATACTCATAACTTTGTCTCTAACCATAACAGTGTGTAGTGTATGCTTAAGAATTTCTCCACTATACGGTAAAACCATATACTTAAAAATTGACATATTTATCTTCCTCTAAAAACTTGACACTTCTATTTTTCTCATTCATATCAGGGTGTGAAATATTAAAAGATAATTACTTGTCCAGGGGGGTAAACACATGATTATTTACTTGTCCTTGGGTAGAAAACACTTGCCCAAATTTTTTGAAAATAAATAGTCATTAAAACTGTATTACTGCAGCTTTAATCATCATTTCTCTTTAAAAATGTTAAATCTACTAGATATATATGCATTGCCTCTGAAAGTCAATAAAATACATGACAAAAATGTTAACACTTGTTCTGATCTCTAATTCTGGCAAACATGAAATAAATGCAGACATAAATGATTTGACATGCAGTGTCAAGATCAAAACAACAAACGGTTTTCTGACTAGTGTAGCAAACTAGAGTAGACTAGTATGGTAAGTACTTCAATTTTTAAATTATTATAATAATGTAATCTGAAATTCAAACCAAATTTATAAACTAGGTGTCTATTCTTAAAATGCTAATAGACAGTCTAACTAAACAGCATTTTATATATGTAAGAATGACCTTTAAACACAGTTTTCAACTGACATAGTCTGGAATCTTCCAATTTCGTAAGTCACTTCTCAGTCTAAATTAACAACACTTTCACTACTCATGAAGTGATACAGTCACTGACCCTGACCCTGCATGCCCATCTACATGCCAATGGACAGGATCACAATCTAACCAATGCTTCAATGCAGGTAATGCATTGAATTATTTCAGAGCAGTATCATTCAGATTAATTTCCATGATGGCATTCAATGTCTTCTGTGGTAGTTTGTTACGTTTAGTCTTTCTCAATGCTCATGTTGAAAACCCATCTCAACACCAGTTGTGCTGATTGAAATGGCCATCATTATCTCAAGAACATGTAAAATGTTGGCAAATTGAGCAGGCTTTCCTCTGAATAATTCACCATACAATTGGAGTTGAGATGAAATTCTCATTTCTGATACATATAACTTGAAGGACAACCATCCCTCAAAGATAGCTTCCCTCTGTTCCTCCCCAAAAAGTGTAGTAAAGTTGTCTAGTTTCCTCAGTTCCATTGTTCAATAACTCCAGAGTGTCACGTGCTGAAGTGCAACAATTCAGCAATATTACCAAATGGTGGCCTCTGTAATTTCCCAAATCTCTCATCAATACAGACCATAGCTCTATCAATTGTTTTAGTACACAGAGGTTCACAGTCCGTTTCCTCCAATTTTCGTTTGAATTTTAAGTCTTTGAACTTCCCATCCAGGTGTTTCTTCAAGAAAGTCTTCAGACTAGGACCTGGCTTGGATTTAAAGCTTACCAGCTTAAGCAAAGTAGCTGTCAATTACAGGGTCACTTCAGTGATTTATTCAGCTTGAAATGCTTGTGACATGGTACTGACATTAGCATTATAATCAGGTTGTGATATATATACAGTGGATTACAAGTGTGGTGGTACATTATCACATGCTAAGACCTGCACTCCTGATTTGTAGCCCATGTTAACATTTACACCGTCAAGATTCAAGTCAATCTATTTTTGAGACATAATGATCAAGACTTATTCCAATGCAAGATAGAGCAGTTTTTATGCCTACATACACACTTTGACTACTAGAGGAATCAACAGCAACAAACTATGCTAATTTAATGACTGGTGCACAAAACAAACATACACAACTTCCTGCACAATTATTGCAGCATCTGTGGAACCATCAGTAAGTACACAGAAATATTTAGCAGCTGGAACTTGTTCCACAATTTCTGACTTAAGTTAACATTCTCCTACATACTTACCTCCTCTCAAAAATAAGCTTTTACTATTACTGCCCTCTATGAGCACAAATTTTCAGTGCACACCTCTAGCCTTCCACCTCCCACTTCTGCATATGCACAAGCAAATGATCATGCATCTACTCTCCACCATTAGGAACATGACACCACTCCTATAATAACAAGTGTCCTCTTCATATATGTACTCGTTAATCACTTTTAAATTGGTCAGAAGAACTACACCATATATCATCAGAAGTGAGGAGGCTGGGTGGGAAATGTAAGAAGAGGTAAGTATCTATCAGAAATACATTTTCAGTGTAGGAAAATGCTAACTTCCAATATGATATCTTACCTCCGCTCACAAAATAGCTAGAATCCCACATTGAATTGGTGAAGGGCTGATAAAAAAAAGATCCTTTTTTTTAGAAAGTGCCCAAAGAGAGGCCAGGAAGTGTTGAATCAAAAGAGAAAACATCATCCTCACCGGGAGACTGCACCACATCTGATCCAGGTATATTCTTCACTCTTTTATGACAGTGTCTAGAACATAGAAGGCAGAAAAACATGAAGGAATCCCAGAATATGTATGACTGATGAATGGGACTCCAAAGTGTCAAGTGGCTAGGATGTAACAGACCACAGTAGGAGTTCGATCTCATTCAACACAAGGCGGTATCTGCAATGGTACATCAGATCTCTTCACCTGAAAATGGGAATTGGTATGGAAGATAAGCTTCTGTGCTAAAATTCATCTCCCCTTACGTGCATTTCCAACACAACCAACACCAGATCTGTCAGGAACTGACATGCAGCAGGCAGTAGGAAGGAGGAAAGCTTCGTGGGGGGAGATGACATCTCCAGTCCAAAACCTGATGGCAATGGGTATGGTACTTCCAGTCCGTAGTAGGAGGAGGATATCTGGCCATACACAAGCAGGAAAACATGTACTGCATCCAGCTACAACCAACACAACATCCCCTGTGAATAAAACATCCAGCAGATGGTTGGAAGAGGAACCACAAACCCGGGGAGCATCTCCAGTTCAAAACCTGGTGGCAGTGGGCATGTGTCATCAAGTCTACGGTTGGAGTAGGGACACCGGCCAGCAAATATATGAGGACTTGTATAGCTGGACCATCTCCAATCAGCACCAGACCCAATGGAAAGAGGAATGTCTCAGCCTGGGTGGCAAACTGTAATAATAGATATATATATATATTCATAACATGGCAGAATGCTTCAACCAAAACCTGGCAGTATCTGAGATTGTATATATCAGGTCTGTGGTAGGAAGAGCATCATTCCATCAACACATGATACTAACCGTGACCGGGCCATCTCCAACCAAAATCAGACCCACAGAGAATGTACATCCAAAGAATGATAGGAAGGAGGAATGCCACGGTAGGAAAAAACAATTGGTCAGATATATATAGACAGAAATACAGCATAGTGCTACCACCAACACCTGGTGGCATCTGGAATTGTACATCAGGCCCATGGTAGGAAGTGCAATACACCAGTGACACCTGCAGAATGCCACCACCCTGCTCTCAACTGAGTGGTATGATTCATCACTCAGGATGACAGGCCTCCATGGTCCACCACCCCAGTGGCTAGGAACTGGTAAGTGGTGAGGACTCCCATACTCCACTAGAAGAAATGGGGGGGGGGGGGGTTAAAAACCCGAAAAGCAGAGCTACCACATTGCCAAAACATGGCAGCATCTGTAATTGTACATCAGGTCCACAGTAGGAAGAGTCTAAATACCACGGAGCATCAGAGATGAGTGTATGGTCCGGGACGAACATATTTATGGAGCAAAAAAGCCACTAGAGAGAACTACTAGCATTCCTATGGGACACTCTACCTCTGCGGTATGCATAACTCAAACCTGCAAAGTAAGTGTTTAGTCATAGATAATAATACAACAGAAACATACACCGACACCTGGTGGCATCTTGAGCTGTACATCAGGTCTGCAGTAGGAGGGGCTACAACATAATTGACATCGAGGATGATGGCAGTTTGGACAGTGCAGATTTTCAAAAAAAAGTATACCTATCAGCCACCACTTGCCACACAAGCAAAAGGCACCCAAAAACGTAAGAAAAGTTTGAAAAAAACAACCTTTCACAATACTAAAACGTGAAAATTTATATAAATAGTAAAGAAAAACTAAGTCAGTAGTATAGCAGAAAACAGTGACAAACCCATGAGAAAAACCAGCATGTTTGTACAGTACTACAGCCAATCGAGTAGTGATTAACAAGTGCAGATGTGAAGAGGGCACTAGTTATAGCAGGAATGGTGTTGTGCTCCTAATGGCAGAGAGCTGCTGCATGATCATTCGCATGTAAATAAGCAGAAGCTGTAGATGGAGGTGAAACAGGTTAGCACTCAGGTGAGTTTAATTGTTGGAGTTTCAATTAAAACCAACC